GCACCCCAGACCCCGGCCGGTCGCAGAGCAACTATTTCAACACCGTCGGAGCCGGCAGTGCCACCACGGCTGCGAGTCCCCCAACCAGCGTCGTCAATGGAGCACCCCCGCCCGCCCTCCCTCCCCTACATTCTCTCCCGTCGCTACAGCCCCAGCAACCAGCCCAGTCGCAGTCTCAGCCTCAGCGCCAGTACTTCGATCCTGCGTATGATGAGCAGCGTCCGGCGCCGGCGGCTAATGACGAGGAAGGAGGCAGGCAACGTGCGCTTTCGGGTGCTGCGCAGCAGCCCCCTGCTGCTACTGCGACCGACTCTGCTGCTGCTGCTGCTGCTCCACCGCAGAATGGCGATACGGAGATGACGGATGCGAGCTTCACGGCTGTGAACCGGTAGGACGATTCCGACGCATCAGGTACGGGGCAGTAATAGCAAACACGACAACGTGGTATCAAGTCAAGGCGTTTAACAAGGTTTTGTTTTGAAGGAGTATTTTTTTGCTGGAAACGCCATCATCCCCCTTTTTCTTTTATTCCACCATGGGTTTTGCTGGAGAGGGGGCCACCATGTATGCTGGTTCTTTATTGAGCATCTCGGAATGTATTAGTAGCAAAAAAAAGGACACTTTTTCTTGTTCGTCCTTTTTGCATGGTTGCCGAGCGCCTGGCATTCCTGTTTCCAATCATGTAGATTCAAATTTGGTCATTTGTTACTACTGCTGATCTCGTATGGATTTCTGATTACAAGCCTGCATCGTCTAGCCAGGATGCTCAATGAACTATCACACTTAGAGTTCCATTACTAGTTATCGCTACATCCATCCTAAAGCATCCCGTTTGTCTCCGTTCCCGTCACTTTATCTTCTTCACCACAGGCCTGTTCTTGATTCTGGGCTTTCATGCACCCTGAATAATTCAAGCCTGGAAACATTGATACCGATCAAGCCATCGACTACCCTTTGGAGCCAACATGATCCGTCACTGTATATGTAAAGAAGTCAAGACGGCTGTTCCTCTATTCGTTGTCCTTGTAGTGAACACCGGTTGCAAGCTCGCATGGATCAGGTGCGTATCCTATGTTGCAATGCTCCCAGTCTTCGTTGTCCGTAAGTTCACGCCTAAAGTTGAGGGCGTGGTAGATATTGGCGAAGCGGAATTCAGTATACTCGTGCTAGAGGAACATAGTCAGCATTTTGCAACTGCATAAAGTTAGGCAGTAACTCACACCGCGTGTGTTCTTCCCATGCTTGATGCAGTCAACCTCGCGCTTGTTGATCTGGCTCTTTCCTTTGGCAAATCCCATGAGCTGCGCGTCGGTATAGTCTACTTTTCCAATAGCTCGGACACAACGAGTCATGCCGTTATCGATGCAGCCCTGGATGACATCGTTGGTGGAGTTTGGACCTTCAGCCAGCTCAACGAACACCACAGCCGATTTCTTGTCTCCGGCCACCTCTATTCCATTTACAGTATCCGCGTGAAACTTCTTACAGCCATCAGCTGTGAGGAATTTGACAAGAGCGTTCGAGGATCCAGGCTCTGGCATAGAGATGGACTCTAGCCTTCCACCCCATACTAGAGCTTGAAGCTGATTGATACTGGTGACGGCGGAGACACCCTTGAGAATACATGTACGAGCAGCTGCAGCTATTCATTGTTAGCGCTGGCCATGTGAAATATTGTGCAATCGACTTACAGGAACTGCGTTTCTCTGCCGTTGGCCATGTTTTCATGTTGTCGACCGGGTCCTCAAGCACTACCTTGCTTCCTAACATACCTGGGATAGTGGTCAATTCCGCCTTGGGAAGAATATCAAGCAGAGCCTTGACCAGTCCAGTAACATCGTCAAGTGTCTCTAACGACATGTGTTTCTCTTCTACAAGCATGGCGCAAAGTTTGAGAAAGTCTCCGTCGACATCCTCAAGTTTTTGCTTAATAGAAGAAGCCGCGCACTCCATTGGGCCTTTTTGTAAGGTTTTGTTGAGGTAGTTGGCTATGGCAAACGCAAATCTTGCCTTGATAGTATCCTTTTCTTTCACATCCATGCTTGTGAGTGGTTTATATGTGACACGCATTTTGTTGGAGACGACCTTAATGAGCTGTGGCGTGCCCTCCTTGGTGTCTGGAAGAGCATCAACATACGCGCTAGCTCTGCGCATGTATTCGTTCTCGAGCTCTGCTTCAGTGATGTCTGCGGGCTGTACCGCGGCCTTTACGGGCTCTGGTAAGCCATCTGTGGTGGCCTGTTTGGGAATTGCTTCCGTGAGTACCGATGGAACCACTAGAGTAGCTGTTGTAGAGCTTGGAAGGCTTTCAATCGGTGCCACTTTCGTGTGATTTCCGAGTGTCATGCTGCTGCCTGTAGCGGGAGCAGAAAGCTCGGAGTCCTTGCTGTTCAGGCGGGCAAAAAGAGCATCAATCAGTGCGGATGTGTCATCGGACTTTGGATCATCCTTCTGAGATGAACCTGCCTTTGCGTTGGAGATTGACGGTACACTGACAGACCTGCTATTGCAAGAATTAGCGGCCAGGTTCGGATTTACGATGGCGGTGGAGTACTAACGATTCAGCTACTAAAGGCTCGAGTTTATCTGACAGAGAAACAGGAGGCGTCATCGGTAGCGGAATGGACGCTGCAGATGGAGTAGAAGGCGGAGGTAGATGGCTAGCAGCTCCCAAAATCTTGACGGCGCTCTTCTTGAGTTTCAAGGCACCCGGATTCGCGACGGGCTGGACAGCGGAGGTGCTGGGTTTCATCGACGGAGCAGCACTTTGCGAAATGGCGCCTTTTGGAGCAGTTGGCGGCGAGTCTGCCCATCGCGAGCGATGCATAGCTGCAAGCGAACGAGATGCCGGAGGTGAGCTTGTTTGTTGACGGCAACCCGCACGTAAGGGTGACAGCAGAGGAAATGGAAGTGACGAAGTTGAGCAGTGCTCCACAGAAGACAATAGATCACTGTGAGTGGCACTCGTCGTACGCGTGTGGAATTTTGTTTTGGTGGTGCTGTGGCTAGGTGAAAACAAGCAGTGAGCAAGATTATATGGTAGGTGAGTGGACGTGTGGACTAACTGTTACTGCGTCGATCAACAGGAAAGTTTTCAATTCCGTGTATGCACGCTTCTAGGCAAGCATGGTAGTTCTTGTCGTTACTGATGCATGCAAGACGAGGCTCACGATTATTTGGCATGAGACCTATGGAGTTGGATTGGCGCGGGCTTTTAGCAGTCGAGGTGACGGAAGCGTGGCCATGTCTGACTAAACCAAACAGGGCCCGGAGCAGTCACGTCGCAGTTGCCACTTGTCGTGCATGTCAACAGCCAGAGTTGACTTACAGCGAAATGGAAATGCTGTCATGACCTGGACAACTCCGGTTCTGAGAGGAATAAACGTGAGTTGCAAGTCGTGGGGAATTAGAGACTGTGTCAAAGAGAAACAGGATAATTATTTGTGTTACAATGAGGCGCGTGTTTGCTCGCTCAAGTTTGAACCTGCTACCCAAAGTCTAAACTTATTTCCCTCGAGTGCGTATCAATAGTCAAGACGGTTTTCTCGACGGTATAACACAACAACGACATGATCTACAAAAAAGACTGCATGTTCGATTTGACGTAGGACTCGCTCGTAAAAGCATCCATATAGGCTAGTCTGTTCATTTACACGGCTGGACATATAAGCAGTGAATATTGACATGCTGCAGCGCAAACATTCCCAAGACTCCTCATTAGATCCGCCTTGAAGATTCATATGAAAGGTATCCAGACACGCGTCCGCGCTTTGTATTCCCTATAATCATTGCCAAAGAATTCCAGCAAATGTTTCTCTTCATCTAATATGGATTAGAACATGTACAAGGTTCATGGGCCACAGAGAGTGAGACTTACGAAATATACGTCTCTTGAAAAATGACCAAAGAACAGCAGTATATGCCAGGAAGCAAAGAGTATTTCCCAACATGATCTGCGTTCCGATACCCCACCAAAAGAAACCAAAATACGAGGGGTGTCGGAAGTAGTGGTATAGTCCATGTGTCACCAGTTCATGGCCGTCGTTCTTGCTCGACTGTACCATGTGGTTGAAATTAGTTCCAGCTTGTATCATTGCAATGCTGCGGACAGTCTGCCCAACCGCAATCAGAACGACACCGATTGCGATGGCCCATGGTGGGTGGATATAGGATTGGTAGCCGGGGAAAAAATAGGATGTGATGAATGTCTCGATAAAGGCCATGGTATGAGCTATGCGGTACTGATCACCGTTGCTGAGAAGAAATGATGCAACCTTGGCAACTGGAGTGTTGTATGCGGCTGTTGTGTAGAACTCGAGGAAGTGGAAGAGAGCAAGCGTGCTAAGGAATAGGCAAGGCCGCCATAGATGGCTTCCGTGATATGCGAGAAGCGCAGCTCCAGCCAGGCCGGAAACAAGGGCGCAACCTAAGCAAAAGGCACGCACAGAAATTCCTGATAGCGAACGCTTGCCGTGGGGGTAGAAATCTGGAGAGATGGCGTTTAGATTCCTTGGCTGAGTGGCAGGAGCTACGTTTGGGGGCTGCCTGTCTCCTGTTCCAGGAGCCCATGGTCCATTTCCATTCCCTGGGTTTTCAGGTAGCGAGATGTCGATACCCGAGGATGAGCCATTTGCAGCCATGGTTGCCGTAAGTAGGGAAGAGAGTAGCGGTATGCGGGGACTTGAATATGCGGTCAGGAAGAGGCAAACGGCAGTGTTCAGAACATGACTTTATACAACGCTGAAGAAAAGATTGCACAGCTACTGGGAGGCTGGGCGGGTTGCCGCAACGCAAGACAATAGCAAGGCTCAGAGGAATAAGAGAGGGTTGCCATTGTTCTTGACGTTGCGCCTCGCCAGTCGGCAGCCCACGAGATCCGCACGCTATTCTAATATCAGCCTAGCTTATCAAGGGCATCCCCGCAACCTCTGGCCCTGGTATCACCGAGTCTGACCAGGTGTGCTCAAAGGCTTACAGTCGCGATTTTGTGCAACGTTGCAATGGAGCTTTCGGAGAACAAGAAGCGAATGGCCAGGGGCGAGCTCTACCATGCATTCACGCCTGAACTTGTAGCCGAGCGAGCAAGGTGCAAACATGCCTGGACTAGGTACAACAACGCTGGCGACGTGCCACGAAGGAAACTTACCGAGCTGTTCAGAGAGTATGTATGAGTCTTTGGTGCCCCAAGATTCTCTTTTCACATTTGTGTTCAGTGTCATCCAGGATAAGACACCTCTACCACCACAAGCACAAACAGCAGAGGAAGACGACAAGCTTTTCGAAAATGACCCATGGATCGAGCCGCCAATGGCAATGGACTACGGCTACAACGTTCGTCTTGGCGAAAACGTCTTTATCAACTTCAATTCCGTTTTCTTGGATACTTGTCTGATCACCATCGGCTCGCGTACGCTTGTGGGCCCAAATTGTAGCTTCTATTCCGGCACCCATCCTCTTGACCCTGCCGTTCGCAACGGCACTCAGGGTCCAGAGCTCGGCAAGGAAATCCATGTTGGAGAAGACTGTTGGATTGGAGGAAATGTATGCATATTGCCAGGAGTCACGATTGGAAAAGGCAGCGTTGTCGGCGCCGGCAGCGTTGTTACAAAGAGTGTTCCCGACTTTACAGTAGTCGCGGGAAATCCTGCCAAGTTTATTCGCAAGATTGAGACGAGCATGGATCCCGCACAAAACAGGACGCTATAAATGTTGTATAGCAGTCAAGGTCTTGTGCATAGCTATGCCACTGCTGAGTACAAATCGTGCCCATCAACCGTGTTCTCGTGATTGTTGAGGCCCAATTTGCGAAATGGGTTCGTTTCCTCGACCTCAACATCTCGTCGCTTCCCATTGCCCTATCTTGTTCTGCTATGTTACACACGAAACGATTTGTATAGGTGCTGCAGGGGCTCCAGGGAGGCACTGCTTAGAAACTGACGGTTAATCTTGACGTTTTATCACCACTGCATAAAGTATTTGTGCTGTATCACGTGCCGTTCCGCTCTAGCGCGTATCAGCGTGTACTTGGGGATTCTGACGCGAAGCAGCCTCGAGTCAACTAACTTTGTCACCGCCTCGTCCTGGACTACTAGTACAGGACTACGAAGGCGACATTTGAAAGATGAGATCCTACTAGTGTTGCTTATGCACTAAGGATTGTCGATGAGGTATTGTTGTACAACTTACAAATGATCACCTCTGCAACTAGTGACCGCAAGTAACCATGCAGAGAAACATGATAAGCATTTGGAAACCTGTGGCACGCTTGTGTCGATCCAGGCGTAATGTGGGGTCAGTTGGGACCAGGTTTCGACACAAAATCCGGTGATCTCCCGCTATCGCGTGAAGGCTACTTAGTGCGCCAAGGCCTTCGAAACCTTTTCCCAGACGGCGCCAAAACTGCAACATCGGCATGCCAAACATTAGTGACTAATTCTGTGTTAGGACACAGCATAATAACCTTGGCAAACAGACCGGAACTGGCCATGATTCAGGACAACCGGCGCTCGTTTGGTTTGCGTCTAGGCCCTGGGGAAGCGTAGCGCACCAAACACCAGCATGCTTCGAAACTCTAGCATCGAGCACTCCACCAACTCTCCGGCATGTCTGCGGAAGCTTGGCATCTAACTCGTTCCATCTCCACACTACTGCGATGCCAGTCGCCTTTACGTCTCGTGAGACCCTCTCCAGAAGGCGGGTCTGAGCAAGTATAAGTATCGCTTGTCCCTCCACCCAGAGAGTCATTATCGGACAGGTTCCTCAATCACTAACAGGCTAATATCTTTTATTTTCGTCTTCCAGCATCTCTCACTTACTTATTACAACTTCTACATAATTATATTCCATCGCTTTCGATACATTTTAACAACCGCCATCATGCAGTACATTCTCGTCGCCTCTCTCCTCACCTCCGCTGTTTACGCTGCTCCTTACGCTCAGGTCCAGCAGCAGAACCCCAACACCCAGCCGGCAACCACCCCCAACAACCCCACCGGTCAGGGTGCGGGTATCGCCAACGGTCAAACCCCTACCGCCGGCGATCTCGCAACTGCCGTCTCCAACTGGATGGCCGACACCTCCATGGTCTCCAACTTCCTTAACAACGGTGCCAGCATCCAGAACAACGTCCAGTTCAAGCAGGCCGCTACTGTTGCCTACAACGCCGAGGTTGACGAGCTCAACCAGAAGGCCGTCATCGACGCTGCCAACAGCGCTGATCCCAACGTCATTGCTGCCAACAGCACTCTCGCCACTGGCGGTGCTTTCCAGGATGTCGTCGACAAGCTCCAGCAAATGTCCATCCAGGGTATGGCTGCCGCTGGCAACATCGACCTGATCAACCAGAACCGCTGTGTCAACGTTCTCCCCAACATCGATGCCTACATGGCCTCCACCGGCTCTTCCAGCCAGGCTGTCCGCCCTACCGCATGCAACCAGACTGGTGTCATCAACGGTGTCCAGGGAGCTGGTCCTACCCAGCCCGGCCAGCCTGCAGGTAGCCCTGCAGCTGCTTTCGCTGCTGCCCAGGCTCTTGCCCAGGGAACTGGTAACGGTCAAGTCCAGAACGGTGCCACTCCTGGTGCCGCTGGTACTGCTGGTACCGCTGGAACCGCTGGCACTGCTGGCACTACCGGAACTGCTGGCACTACCGGAACCGCTGGTACTGCCGGCACTGCTGGAGCTACCACTCCTCAGGGTCAGGCTCAGGGACAGACTGCCCAGCAGGGACAACAGACCGCCCAGCAGGGACAACAGACCGCCCAGCAGGGACAACAGACTGCCCAGCAAGGACAACAGACTGCCCAACAGGGACAACAGACTGCTCAGCAAGGACAGCAGACTGCTCAGCAAGGACAGCAGACCGCTCAGCAAGGACAGGCTGCTCAGGGACAGACTGCTCAAGGACAAGCCGGTGCTCAGGGCCAAGCTGCTCAAGGACAGGCTGGTGCCCAGGGCCAGGCTGCTCAAGGACAGGCTGGCGCTCAGGGCCAAGCCGGTGCTCAGGGCCAAGCTGGTGCTCAAGGACAAGCTGGCGCTCAGGGCCAGGCCGCTAACGGTGCCGCCGCTGGCGCTGCTGCCGGTGGCCGCCAGGGCCGTAACTAAGGGTATTCCAGCCTAAACAACATGCCCAGAGTGGGAGAGGGGGGGCATGGAAACATCCAAGGTGGAAACAAACCAAAACAGGGGGGAGTCCAACCGTGTTATGCAGGTCACATCACGTTTTCACTCTCGTTTAGTATGTAAATAAGCCTTGTCTTTTTTTTCTTTTTTAAGAAGGGGATGTAATGGACGGTGGCGAGTGGAGTATATATATATATGTCTATAGCTTTGTAGTTATTGTCAGTTGTGAGATGCTGGACAATGGCGAATATAAAGGGTATTAGCCTGCCGAAGTTTACTTTCTTTTGCTGCTGCTTGTGTGATTGTGTGATTTCGCAATGTTGACTTCTAAGAAAGAAGAATAAGATGATATACCATCTTTGACATGTATTGAGAATGTAAATAGCTTCAGTAGTATAGGTACATGAGGCTGAGATACAACCGAGCGAAGTTGAGCCGAGATATCGATATATACCTATATCCTACGGTAATCCAATAGGCACGTATATAACCCATCAAGATTATGGAAGTTGAAGTGTGTTCTCGAGCTCCTCTGTATTAGCTGACCTTCGTATAGTTTATAGTAGGAATTCCACCAACACAGACTGGCACAGTGGGAATGAGATGCAAAAGAAGATGTTATGGAACACACTTGTGTGCAGGAACTCAAGTGATTTTTTGCTGTGTATAACGAAATTGCCTTTCTAGGATTTGATTTCTATCAAAACTTCATGATCTCTGTATATCAAGAATATACAATGCATACAAGTGAGACCAATTGGTTTGTAGATAGTACTTCCATTTAAGATACAATTCAGTACAATATAGGTACCTATTGGTCATAGCATAAGGGCGTAAAATTCCAGATGAATCTAATATATGTACATTAGAAAACCTAAAAGGATGAGAAGTTTTCGCTTGTAAAGCAATTCCATGTCGAGACGACATGGAAGTTCCTTTCTTTTCCTAATATGCAACGGCTGGTTCTTGATTTAAACCATACATCCTCTAGTTCTGAACACGGGAACCAAATCAGAAACTGAAGTCCAATCCACAGAGTGAATTTCGAATTTCAGCTTACCATTGTTCAGTGCTAAGAGGTACGTGGTTCAAAGGGTCAAGTGTGGGTGGCGTCGCACAAGCATTATACGGGCAAAGTGCTCGCCGAGGATTAGCCAGGAGGCTGATAAATGCAAGGATGTTGTGGATCATGGAATGCAGGTCGAGGCCGGGTTATTTCCTCGGCAATGAGATTTACTCTTTTCATAAAAAAAAATTCATAGATGGAAGCATGTTCAAGTTGCTTTTACCTCGTGTATTGGCAGGTGATATGTAGCGATTCAATTGAGCGAGTTTGACATGACTTTTAACCAAGCTCTAGAAAGATATGAAAAAGAGACAAGAGGACTCAGCACATGATGTTTATATGTATCATAATGTATGCAACACCTTACTGAAGGGACAGACAAGAGAGGAGTCTTACAGTATCCAGCTATACAGTGACGTTCAATTCCATACCAGGGATATCGTGGCCTTGTAGAAGTCCAGGTTCGGCGATATTGCGGTCGTTTGCCTGAGGTTTCGAAACCTCAGGCCCGGAAATCTGGATACCTGATATTCCCGGATGACATGTACCCGGTGGCGCCCGTGGAGTGGTCTATGTTTGGGGTGTGCTTTGATCAGGAGCTGGTGCCCTGCCGATTGTGGTACAGCCGAAACGATGCACAAAACATGATGTGCGGCAGGACTAGAAAGCTTGATGGGGTCGCCAAGCGTCGAGTTCAAGACGGGACGAGTATGAGGGGCCTGCAGTGGCTATGGTCCATCAAGACAAATACTTTCAGGCTTTTGTCATGTGCTGGTCAGCAGAGTGGCCAGGCTAAGTAGGTAGTAGTCCCACATGCCCTGTAAGTAGTACTACCAACGTTGGTGCTTGGAGCATGCCGGCATCGCGCAGCCAGTACGTGCTAGTACGACACCAACTCGCGTGACATGCCGCTTCGCAAGATGCCGACGCTCGCTGCATGCGGCCCACATATAGAGGATGCAGAATGCGGACGGGGATCTGATTTCCTTGGGCGGGCGGCGTCGCTGTGGAATCGTACATGCGCTGGCAGCCTATGACACGTCCCCTCACCCAAGTCAGTGCCTCGCCAAGTGCATGGTGGCATCGAGTCGCTGACCGCACACAGCTCAGCTAGCTAGCCAGACCGCAACCTCGCTGCTGCTCATGACGCTCATTCACGACATTTCGTTTGCACCGAAAAATGGCTGAGGGCGAGCGCGCTGGCGGAGTACATAGCGACCTGGAGAAGGAATTAACTTGCTCGGTAAGTCGAGGTTCAGGTTCAGGTTCAGGTTTCATGGCGGCGCAAAGGTGGGGAGCGGCCCAGCGAGAATGCGGCATGGCCGACATTGTGTTAAGCCAGGCCTGGCGACGGTTGCAGTGCCTTAAGAGGGTGTTGCTGGGCGTATGGACGTGTAGAGAGACCTTAACACCCGGATCTCTCGTTTCTTCTTTCCGCTGTCCGTCTGGGCCTGCCGAGCCGTAGGGCTACGCCTGCTAACGGTTCCCTGCCCAGATCTGTACCGACCTTCTCTACCAG